TGGGAGGGCTTCTAGTGTCCTGGCCCCACTGATGGACCTCCTGATGGCACCTGGTATTTCTGGCCACTGTGTGATAGAGTGTTGCACTAGATGGGCCATTGGCCTGATCCAACATTGGCTTCTCTTATGTTCTTATCTGTAAGTGTTAATAGTTTTCATAAAAGTAGTTTTAGGAATGAAGAGTGTTTTGATGATGGGGGTGGGGGCCCAATCCACATAGTCCCTTACTCACGATGTCTGATGGTGGTGTTTGGATGAAATAAAGCTTACCTCTATGGATACGAACAATGTCATTTTCATTGAGCGTAGGCCAAACTGGTCCTTCCAGTTCATTATATTCTCGATGGTTTGTCTTCTCAATTGGAATGTTGGTAGGTTCAGGTACATACATCTCTAAAAAAATTATAAATATTTGTCACAGAAATTAATTGAAAAAGTCTACCACGGTCTATTCAAAAGCCATTAAACTCTCCCTTAGAAAAAGTCCTTTAGATTTTCTGCCAGTTAATATTTTATACTATTATGTACTGGTTCATTACCAGGGCAATGTAGAACTAAATATTCTTTTAACTGAGATATCTTTTGATACTTTGTAGTGTACTGATTCATATTCTTACTCATTTGTTCTCTGACCTGAAAGGATTATGAGTTGGAAAAACCACTTCTCTCTCTCTCTCTCTCTCTCTCTCTCTCTCTCTCTCTCTCTCTCTCTCTCTCTCTCTCTCTCTCTCTCACACACACACACACACACACACACTCACTCCATAGAAACCATTTTATAGACAAAGGTTTTCTTTAATATATAAACAATAGTACTTTGAACAGCCAGAGTACCTACCTCAACATGAAAGGTAGATGAACAGTCCGATGGTAACAGAATAGCATTAGGAATCACTATAAGTATGATGTATTCCTTTTGTGCCATTGCAATGGCATAATAAACTTTTTAAAAATACTGAGACCAGCCTAGTTACAGAACTACTGACAGAATTGTTCTTCTATTTTCCCTGTTGTTGCCATAGAACACAAAGTAAGACCAGGAAAGCAGTTCCCATGATCATCAGTAAGAATATGATAAACAGTTAACTATCTGACAACCAAGAGAATTTGGCAGTCCTGCATTTTTACTGTACTGAGACGTGATTGTCAGGTTTTGGTGGGCTACACAAATATCCTGATAAATCCTGAACATATTACTGAGCACAAGACCTTACCTGGGCACATGGGGCAGCAACTTCCTTCAACATTGATGGGTTCCACACAAGGAAGAGGAGGGCAGCTGACAGTGGAACAAAGGGTCTGACCCTGCAGGCAGTAGCAGTGTGTGCAGCTGTCAATGTCCCAACGTTCTTCATCTGCATATGTTTTCCCATTAAAGTGACAAACTGCTTTCTTTGATGTTGTGTCTTCTGGTAAAATAATATTGCCATGACCAAATTTAGAAAGCCATTTCAAAGTAATTGGCAAACAAAACAAAACAAAACAAAACATCCCCCCACAACACACAAAAAACTCAAGCAGTCATATGCTCTTTGTGCTTGGTTGGCTGGCATAAAACTTGGCTGGAAATAACTGAATATGCTAGGGATGTGCATCTTGAAAAAAACCCAGGTTCTGAATATAGGTTTGGTAAATTGGGGAAAAAAACCCACACACACATTTCTTGGATTCAGATATTATTCAGCTCCACATTCCCTATGAGGAATCTTTCTGGATGGCTGGAGGGGCTGTTTATTTTAAAATAATGGCACCAAAATTGCAATGGATTTCAAGTGAATTGCACCAGGAGGCCCAATTGATTCTATGGGCCCTTGAACAACATGCCTCCAAGCCATCCTCCATTGTTTCCTATGGAAAAAAACCCTCCAAGCTTTCTCCTGAGCAAACAGTAACCAAACACTTACGAGCAAGCAAAACAACCACTGGCCAAAAGGCTCTGGAAGCAGATAGAACAAATAAGCCCAAAGAACCAATGCAGAACCAGGGAATCCCAGAAGAACCACAAACCAATGTGGCAAGCCCAACAGAAAAAATGTCAACCAGGGAATCACAGCAAAACAAACTTAAGCTGGGTGGAGGCACTTTTGCAAGCCTAAAACAACTCTCAGAACTCAGAGCCAATGTGGTAGTGCAAGCCCAACAGAATCAATATCAAATCAAAGAATCCCAGCATAACAAACTTAAGCAAGGAGGGGCACTTTTGCAAGCCCAGCAAAACCAGTGCCAATCCACAGAAGCTCAACAGAACAAACTTAAGTGGGGGGACTTTTACAAGCCCAACAGAAACAATGACAATCCACAGAAGCCCAAGAGAAAGCCAGCTATATCTGTAACACACACACAAACAAACATACAGACATTGGTTCTCCCTAATATGCTATCCCAGTTGCCTGTGACATCTGCCTTCTCCCTCCCTCCTGTTGCCTGGGAAACCATGCAAGGGTGGGGGGAGAAACAGCCTTGGAGCTTTAAAATTTTAATTGCTGGCTCTGGATATATCCAAATATATTTGGGATTGGATTTACCAGCTTTGACAGATTTTTTCATGTGTATTCAGATCCAGATAAACCTGAAAAATACCAATAAGGTTTTTTCAGGTATATTTTCAGATTGGGTACATCCAAGTGCACATCCCAAGTATATGGCTAATGAAACACTACGTAGCAGGTAATACAGTTTCACCATTATTTTTCTTTAACCTTTTCCAATTACAAAGTAAATAGAAGATCTATTCAGTGTGGTCTAGTGACAAAGAGTGACAATTGAAAATCCTTGTTCAATTAAGAATTCACTAAGTTAGACTTCTACCAGGACCTTAATTCCCACATGTAAAATAGGAACAACCATCTGCTTCATACCAGTGTTATAAGAATAGATATGACAAGTGCGGAACTCACAAGGATGTGTTAGAGTTGCTTCATTTCCCCCCGCATCTCCTTCCCCATACTATTTCCTATTTCTTTCCTCTCCCTTTCCCCTATTTACTTCCTTCCTTTCCACTCAACAGCCCACCTTTCTTTTATCTTCCCCCCAGTCCTCAGTTTCATTTATTATTTATTCACTTCCTTTACAACCTGCCTTCCTCCCCAATAAGGACCCAAAGCAGTTTACATCATTCTCCTCACCTCCATTTTATCCTCACAACAACATTGTGAGATAGAAAGAGTTAGTGGCCCAAGGTCACCCAGCAAGCTTCCATGGCAGGTAGAGATGTGAATCTGGATCTCCCAGATCCTAGTTTAACAACTAAACCAGAGTAGCTCTCAGCTTTCCCTCCTTCCCTCCTTCTGTCAGCCTCTGTTGCAGCAACAGTTGTACAGTAGCAAGTTGCTCATGGTGGCCACTGTTGAGCCTGGCCAAGTCATGCAAATTGTGTGGAGGCTGCTGCTGCTGCACCCAGGAAAGTTGTCTGGCATTAAGTCATAACCACCACCACACTTGGGTGAATTGCACAAATTCCATGGTAGAAAGTTTGCCAATGGCTGCTGTTGGGCCTGGCCCCAATAATTCCTCTGTTCAAGACAGGAGGGAGGAGAGCTGGGGTGACTAGGAAGCCAAAATAACCCTGGAAAAGGTCCTGCCCCCTTTATCTGCCTTTTATTGATGGAAACTAAAGTTTGATGGCTGGCATCTGTTTTTTAAAGTTACAGGCACTTGCTTTTCCTATTTTGGGATTCCCTTAACCTTGAGCATGGAAACTGGAGGACAACATTCCAGTATCCAAAGTTAGGGGAGATTCCACATCCAGTTAACCAAGCGATCTCCTGAGTCAGCCACAATGCTGAGGACATGCATAAGCTTGAGGTCAATTCCCATTTTACCATATATAGAGATAGAATTTAACATTTTAATCAAGCACAAAAAAACTGCACAGAAATTTAAGCACTTCTAATACTAAGTTGTCATACAGAAGGCACCTCTATGCTGCCTATTTACCCAAGTCACTGCCAATTTGCAGTATCTACAAAATGAATCTCATCTGTCTCTTTTGCGCTATAATGTGGATCTGATGACAACAATGGGCGGCTAAATGAATGGTGTGGCACTGTAAAGTGTACCAGGGTGAAGGGAAGCAAAATCTGCTGCTTTAACAACATAGTGCTGAAAAAAGAGGGGCACTTTGCATTTTCATTTGTTTGCATACCTAAAATATAATCTGCTTCAGTTATTCTACTGGAAATTTTTAAAATAATTTAAGAAGAAATTATATTTTGGTATTAAAGTTGAATACAATGTTAAAAAATAACCTAGGCTGAGGAGTATCCCAGATAAACAATACTTAGAATGAGAATTTAAAGGAAGACACAATTGCTTTCAGGACATTAATCCTATTAACGATAGAAACAAACATGTACAAGAAATACCTTCAGATAAAAAGTAACACAGGAAGCTCCTCTAAGTGGCCTAAAGTAGCCTCAATCCACTAAAGTAAGTCAAGACACACTAGAATTATGGCTGTTGCATGACTGTCACTCAAAGCAACAGCCCTGCTATTTTGTCCTTCCCCCTTACAAGTAATGTTTAATTGTTCAAAAAGTGGCAGCATCATTGTACTGCTAAAGTTGCAACCAATTAAGTGAAGCAGTGGCTGGGAAACAAACAGTGTGAGAATGTCATGGCATGCATTTTTTAATAACTAATTACTACATGAGAGAAAAGAAGAGATAATGCAGGGATGCTGTTTTGTGTAGGCTTTGGAAAGGCAGAATATGAACTCCCTAAAACAAAATTATTTGCATGGCTATAATGCTTCTGAGACTGAACAATGACCTCCCATCACATTCCCCCTTGTCTTGTTTTCAATCACTTACCTATACAATAAGGGCAACACTGGCCCTTTCTCAGAACAGGCCTGTCACAGGACACTGGTGGGCAAGACTCAGAGTAGCAGCTGATAGTACCATCCATGCAAACACAGCTAGCACAAACATTTGGTTTCCAGGATTCAGCAGTCAGGAAAATATCACCTTCATCATTTTTGCAGTAGCTAGGCATGCTCTCGTTGCTTGACAAGGAAGGCTGAGCGGGCTCATCTAGAAATAAAGCATGCAGAAATGCAATCACAGAACATACAGTGGAAAGAGTATTCTTCATAGCTTTGTGGAATTACAGGTTTAATTCATGAAACTAAAACTTACTATGTTCATGTGAACCAGGAAAAAACCAGGTTGCACTTACCTATAACATCTTGTTAAGGAAGATAAAGGGAGCTATGCTATCGAACATTCTACTCCAGTGGTGGCAAATAGAGAACTAAGGGAGTGTGTGCAGCTCCTCCCAATGGCACGTGGCCATTTAGGCGGGAAGCAGTCTCGTCGGTTTGGATCGAGAGGGGCTCCTCCCACTCTGTTGCTACACTAGCTTGAAAATATTCCTGTGCGCATGCACAGTACCCCATGTAGGACTGCACAGCAGAACGCTAATGAACTTTAGGTTTCTGGATACAAAACACAACTCCCACTAGCAGGACTTTCTGGGCTTTGGTATTTTTGACTCGTTATCACAGTTTTCTCAATCCTTACAGTCCTATAAATCTGTACTTCAAAAATACAGGTTCATTTATAAGACAGTACTATGAGAAGACACATCTAGTTTTTCTCTGCCAAACATGCAAAATAACTCCACGTACCCTTGAATTAAAAGGGGTTGGGTTGAGAATGAACCACTTTTGGTAGCTTTACCACAAAGCTTGGGGAGAAAGGGAGAAAAGCCAGTGGGATGGTTTTTTTCATGCAAAGAACTATAACCATTACCTCCTCCACTTCCCCTTCCACCTGGTTCACTCAGATGTGTGCACAGGAAGCTACAAGCAGGCCCTCACAGAGGTTAAGAGAGGCCTGGGCCACTTCCATTTTTGAGCCCCTCCCCCCAGTAAATTAAAAAATTAAGGAGTACAACAGCAATTATACAGATCAAGTAGTATTATATTTTAAAAGTTTAAATTTAATACAATAAGAAAAACATTGTAACACTTTGTAATAAACATTCCTATTTTTATTTAATTTGTGATTTTCTAGGGTTTTTTTGTGCAAATTCACCAATTAAACTGGAAAAATCTAGTTTTCTTGCAATGTCATAGTTTATGTCAAGCAGAGCAAGACCTACGCACTCATTCTCCCTCTCCTGTCCCTGCTTCTGCCACAGCCATGCCTCTGTAGCTGCTCTGGCAGACACCTCTATGGAAACCAGATCACCGGTTCCCAGACCGGCCAGGTTTGCCGTCTGGGCAGGCGCATGCAAAATGACAGCTGCCATTTTATCTCTTGGTGGCTGACTGGTCCCATTATTCCAGGAGGGGAGGGTCCCAGGCTCCGGTGGGAAAAATCCCACCAAAAATGGGAGATTGGGAAGGTTAGTATTTCTGTGTCTGTAACTATAACCAAATTAAGAGTGATCAAAAGTATAAATCGGAGGTCCCCCAAGAATGTGAGGACTGGGCCAAATGGCCCTGCTGCCCCTCCCCCTCCCTGGCTACAAGTATCTGAAAGCACAGCTTGAATCTGTATTTTAAGGAGCATCTAGTACCGATATTTTCCTTCGCAGAATCAACGGTATCATTGTGCTTTTTTTTTGTTCTGCCTTTTCCCATATGTTTTGATATATGTCATTTTAACAGTTTATTTGCTGAAGTCTAATTAATTTTGTAAATATGTAACGTTAAAATGTTGGTAATGAAAATACTGTTTTTAGAACACAATTTGAGTCCAGCTTAACAAGTCATTGTCATATTCACATACGTGTAACAAAAGTTCAATGGCTACTTGCCTGAGGAAGCATGAGTAAAGTATTATCAAGTGGGCAATCCTGAGCAGGTAAGTGGGGTATGTTTGTACGTGTGGAGGTGAGGTGGACATGGTACTTAACATAGTCCCCCTGCAGATTGTTTGTGTTCCAAAACACCTGTGCATGTTGGTTTTCTTTTTGCAGAATTCCAACTGCGTGTGCAAAGGTAAACACATGCATGGTTGGCACAAAGGGAAATGTAGCTGGTGTGCACATGCATACAATTTGTAGCACTTGAATGATGAGCAAGAAAAGGGTTAAGCATCCTCCCTCTCAGCTTCTCTACTCAAAATACCCCCCCTCCCTGGAAAAAGCTGCTGCAGGTCTTCTGTTACAAGCCTGTATTTATGCGGAGCCATTCTACTCTAAAATGTGGTTTAAAATGAGTTTCACGTGGTTAAGGGACACTTTAGTAACTACTAACTGTGATTATAATCAGTCAGTTGAGAAGAAAAGGAGGGAAGAGATATTGAATATTCTCAAAGCTGGATCCCAACTTCTTAACTACAATTAAGATAGAGTAGTATTGCATCTTCAAGGTACACAATCTATTTCTACCACTCTTTTGAACACTGGCTTTTCTCAATTGATGGCTCAATATTTTCATGTTGGCTTTCACATCATCTTTTATACTGTTCCAGCAATGTCTAAAATCTTTTCCTTTATACACATCAACAGCGCACAGATTTTCAGTCAATAGTTTTCAGTGTAGCTTTGCCTCTCATACTTTTATGAAAATTCAATAAAGATAATATTTCAAAACATCATTCTGCACAAAAAAATAACAAGGATCTGAAAAGTTTATAATGATGGTTGGTAGGCAATACTAACCTGGGCACTGTGGACAGCATGAATCTTGCGAACGGGTGGGATTTCGACAAAGAAGAGGGGGACAGACTTCAGTCTCGCACAAAACTCGTGCATTATGACAAGTACATTGTGTGCAAGAATCAATGTTCCATGTATCTCCTTCCACAAAGTACTCGCCACCTGGAACATAGCAGATAGTCGGACCACTGAGTTCTGGCTTCTGTAAAGTAGATTCATCTGTGAAAAACAGAATTTAGAAACAATGTAACAGTATTCTGGTTTATCGTGATTTTGACATATATTATAATTATTTCATTTCTTTATATAATGTATATTAATAGTATATTAATAACTGTACATATCTAAAAGTTAGTTTCTACCACTCTAGTATAATCAAGAAATTTATTTATGTGTTTATTTACTTCTTTATACCCCAAGCTTTCTCTCCTCCATTTTATCCTTACACTCAGCCTAACCTACCTCACAGGGTTGGTATATGTTGACTAGCCCAAGGTCACCCATCAAGGTCCTATGGCAGAATGGGGATTTGAACCTGGGTCCCCCAGATCTTCGTCTGATACTCTAACCACTATGCACATGGAAAACCATCAATGATTGGTGATTTTTGGTGGCTGTATGAGATAACATGAACTGACTGCGATTAGAAGGTTATTAGGGGCAAAACTGAACCTAAATGGCTGAACTCTGCAGATGTTAGCAATATTTCTGTATGTGCTGAGTGTTCAGAAATGCACTGTACCTTCTCAGGGACTCTAAAATATATGGGCCTTCCTCCATTCACTACCAGCTACCATTTTAGTTTTTCAAAATAACCCTATTATGGTTTTTGTGTGAACACAGTTTACATTTCTCTTAAGATATGGGGAGAATGGAATAATCTAGCTATACATTTCCATTCAAAGTGCCAGATCCAGATTAAGTTTTCTGCTAACAGGAAGGGGAGGGTAATTTCCAACAATTCCTTCTTCCTGCCTCAGACTCCTGATTTACCCCTCAAGCTGTTCCTAAGAATCCCCTGTACCGCAGATCAGCATTTAAGGGAGAGTAGTGGGCTTCAGTGGAGACAGCCTTGAACGAGTAGAATATTTAGTTTGTACCCAACTCAAAGTTTCCCATACATTATAAATTGTCAGACTCGTCTCATCAGATCGGGAAGAACAGGGATAACTTTTAAGGCAGCAGCAAACTGCCTATAGATACAGGAATATTCTCCCACTAGCTTTTTAACACTGCCATTTTTTACATCTGGTATGTCCATTTCTTCTTGTCCATAGAAAGTAATCTTAGGATGCATTAACAGAAGCATTGTGTCCAGATCACGGGAGGTGGTAGTTCTGCTCTATTCTGTTATGGTCAGGCCTCACCTGGAGTACTGTGTCCAGTTTTGGGCACCACATTTTAGGAAGGATGTTGACAAGCTTGGGCGTGTCCAGAAGAGGGCAACCAGGATGGTGAGAGGGTTGGAATCCAAGTGTTATGAGGAAAGGCTGAAAGAGCTGGGTATGTTTAGCCTGGGAAAGAGAAGGCTTAGAGGGGACATGATTGCAGTCCTCAAATATCTGAAGGGCTGTCGTGTAGAAGATAGAGCAGATCTATTCTCTCTTGCTCCAGATTGCAAGACTAGATCTAATGGGTGGAAACTACAAGGGAGTTGATACTGGCTAACTATCAGTGGAACAGTCTGCCTCGGGAGATGGTGGAGACTCCTTCGCTGGACGTTTTCAAGCGGAGGCTGGATGACCATCTCTCAGGTGTGTCGTAGGGCTGTCTCTCGGCTATGCTCCTGCAGAGTCCAGGGGGTTGGACTAGATGACCAGACTGAGAACACCACCACCCCCTTCTCTGGCCCTAGCTTTTCTGCCCAGCTTATTCCATCCAATTGTCCACCAGTGTTCCTTTGCTGGACGTTTTCAAGCGGAGGCTGGACGACCATCTTTTGGGTATGTTGCAGGGCTATCTTTCGGCTCTGCTCCTGCAGAGTGCGGATAAAGTGAACTGTCTAAAGAGTGAAAAGTGAATACCACCAACTCCAGGGGGAAAAAAGTTAAATAGTAGCAAGCAATACATACATCTGGTGTGGGTAAAATTATGTTCAGAATGAATTGAATTGTTGACTCAAAGACTAAAATGGAATGTTATATACAAGTATCCCATGGTTTGAATGGTCTGTCTTTACTATAGCATCTTGGAAAGAAAAAAAAAGATGGAAAACTTGTATTTTACAATACAAAACAGATAATAAATTTACCTGGACATGATGGACAACATTTGCCTGGATGTATGGTGGGATTTCCACAATTGGGTACAGAGCAGGTGATCAAAGCACACATTTCCCGTCCATTATGGCAGTAACATTCACGGCAGCCATCATGCCAACTTTCTTCATTTTCATGACGGTGCCCATCCACTGACAGGCAAGAACCAGTCTTAGCTGGTGGCATTACAGAAGCTGGTAACTCTGCATATGATCAAATACACAGTGTCTTAGTATGGCAGTACTGATCAGCAACAGTTAATCTTCCCGTGTCATTACTTCAGAACCTAACATCTGAAAAGTACATGGAACACCTGACAGCAAAGTCCCCAAGGCACACATAAATACCACACAAGCTATATGAACTAGAGAGAGATTTGTAGGTTTAACTTCTATATATATGGGGAAAATTAAACACTGCAGATGTGAAGTGTAGAATTCTCTTCCCATCCCATCCTACATCTATCAAAATATCACTTCACAAGGGGCAAAAACAGACTGCTGATTTGTAACTGATATTCTTTGAGTGGTCATTCACACAATCAAACATATTCTATGCCAGCACAGAAGCCACTCCACAAAGTTCTACAGTCTAGGCTTAAAATGGGCACTCAGATCCTCAAAGGAGGATATTATGCTCTGCTCCAGTCTTTGGTGTGAGGAAAAATGCATATGTGTTGCAAGTAAACATATGTAGTGACTACTGCCATGTACTCTGGAATTTAGCAGTCTCAGATAAATTAGCACTCCCGCAAGTAAACATATGTAGTGACTACTGCCGTGTACTCTGTAAAGATGCATGGTGCAGCCACGATGCCAATACACAGTACGGAAAATCTTCTGAACTCACTGTGAAATGTAGGGTCGAACTAGATATTATGAGTAACATGTGATTGCCATGGGAGTCAGTCAGATAGCCGCAGCTAGTGCGGAATTCAACTCTGATGCACCCGAGGGGCCTGATTCAGATTGGGACTGTAACAAAAAGAAGGGGGTCTCAAACAACGAGGAAACTTCTTTCTGCAGCATTAGTTGGCCACTTTAGAAGAAGTGACATGGAGGTGGGATGTTGCTGAACTCTATGGCATACCCAATATGGATGGGTGTGAGGACTGCTGAATGGGTAATGGAGTCCCATGCTGGGAAGAAGAGTTTCAGTCTAGTATCAGATCAGGGTAGGACAATGGGTTGTGAATGATATGGAAAGTCATGTAGTCAAAGACTATGGGCTGGAATCCAGACTAAATTTTTAATGGAAGAATGGAACTTTCCTGCATCCCCTCACTGGTTTCCAAGAAATGCTACTCCTAGGGGATAAGGGACCCCAAGGGATGATATGAGGGAGTTCTGCAGCAAGAAGGGGTGAATAAATGGAAACTGCCAATTTAGTTTGGATCCAACTCTATTTTTCCCTGGGCAGATGTGGTTTTTGCTATATGGTTTGTAACATGGATAATACAGGAGTTTACAAGATGGCTGATGCTGCCTCCAAATGATGAATCCAACAGAAGAACACAGGGAGGTGCGACAGAAACAGAATCACAGCCAAGAATGTCATCCAGAGAATCTACGCTATGGGCAGTTCTCCTTATCCACTTTTTTCAGGATCTTATCAATGGGGTATGGAAAAAGCCCATTCCATTGAAGGACAGATCTTTAATGCAAATAAACGAAAATAGGTATCGAACACCTACGTGCATGGGAACAGAGAGCTAAACATGTGGCCATAGTTTGGGATGCACAGTCAAAATCACATGGAACCATGTTTACTTGCTGTTTGAGCAGCTTAAGCTCTTCAGCGTAAATGGATACTCTTAATTTTCATCCTTGCTGCAAAGACTTTAATAGATGGAAATAAAAAAATCCCCCTCTTTGAGCCAATGGTTTATGAAATTATGGGATTTAGCAGTCTCAGATAAATTAGCACTCCAGATTTTATAAGACTCAAAATCCTTCCAAATTTCTAGAGAAATGGTTTCCTTTTTTTTAATATATTACTTCACCTCCGATTAAGAAATGGTCTACACCAAATAAATATTTGGACTTTGTGTTCTATTGATTATTAAAATAATATCCACTTTTATCTGTTGAGAACGATTTTACCATGTGTAAGCTACCTATTTGCTTATTTTAAATGTATCACAATCTAGTACCACTGTTTAAATTGAAGTTGTTATTACTGTTGTTAAAAATTAAGTGTTAAATGGATTTTAAGGTTCTGAACAAATATACTGGGAGAAGTTGTAACACTGGGATAAGTCAGTTCTACAAGTGGTATTGCTGAAATGCACAGCACAGTTAAGGATTGAGATTGAAAGGCCTATAGTTTGTCCCATAATGTCCAGTTTTTCTCTTTCACTGTCTGTTGGTGCTGAATGGGTGATACCGTTTTCCTTTTGAGGAGCAGCAGCATGGTATTGCATGGTTGGAAGGTGGATGCCAGAAAAGTTAAGTTTAGTTCTTGGATCCAGTACATGTTTTTGAGTCTTCCAGATGTGGACAGTACCACTGATGATTTCAACCAGGAATCTTTAATTGCTTCCAGCAAATTTGCCAGTCTAGGCTAGGTAGAGTTGCAGTTGCTTGTGCATGAACTAGTAGGTAAACAACTGGCTTCTGGTAGAAAATGGAAGTGGGTGAATCTCCACTTTTAGTGTTAAAGCAAGGCCTTTAATTAGTTTGGCATAATGTCTCTCTAATGAGAGTCCCTATTCAGTGACCATATAGTCTGGTGAGAGTTCTATGCTGGGTCAGTCTCAAAAAGTCTGATTTTGTTAGAGTCAGCAAATGGCTTGGCAGAATTAGTCTACAGAATGAATACCATCCTTGTGTCTGCAAAATAGCTGATACTGAAGCAGATGGTTTAGGGACCACAGTGAAATCTTGAACTGTGTAGTGAATGCATGTGCCGTGGGAGCTGAAGAAATTGAGGAAACACAAGAAGGCCACATCAGCATTGATTGTGCAATGGATACACATGAGACAGAGCATAGGGTAGAGCAAAGAACAGCACATTGGAGAAGTACAATGTTGTGATCACAAATGGGGTCAGTAGTGAATATATATTAATGCATGGAATGTGGTATTGATATGATTGACTATTGAGGTGGAAGAGGCAGGCCAATGGGAGGAACTAAAGAGGGAAGAAGGAGCAGGCAAAGGGGAGAAGTAAAATGGAGGAACAGGAGACAAAAAGGGCTGAAAAGCAGAATTGGAGGAGGAGCCCAGTAGACAAGAATTTTGAAGCATAGACAGTTGTATATGATTATGGGGAAAAAGACTAGGTCCTAGTGAGGAAACTTGTTTTTTAGATCTCACACGTGGGGTATTTGTTCAGATACAGAGTTACACACTAGAAAACCTCTGGTTTCTACTTTCAGCAGCCACGCAAGTTCAAAACCCACCACCAGTTGGAACCCCATTTAGACTTCTGGCCACCAAGCAGCCTACCCCCAAACACTTATCCAACTCTACAGACTTGCTGTAACATTTCTGGGATATACACACAGTCCTGACAGTCATAATATTCATGGTAGGGTGGTGATCTCAAGTGACAGCTGGGAAATCTGGATATCATGACCTGGTCTTCATTATACTGACAGTGATAGTCATCTTTGTTGATGTTCTATTGATGGTAAGAGTGTTTTGAATTCCTGAAGGACTGTTTTGATCACCAGCAGAAAGTATCTATAGTTAGTTGGGATGGAGCCAGTAAGAGTAGTTCTGAGGGCTTTGCTAAAGGAGGTGACAGTGGCACAAAGAGTAACTGAAACTGAGACTTTCACCACTATGGATAAATGAAGCCAGAATGCCTCTGCTTCTTTTTTCTCATCTCCCCTCTCCCATTTTGCTGGTTAATCAGCTTCTCAAGTTGCAGCCCAAAATGTGGTCACCACATATAGGATCCCTGCTCCAGCTGGAGATGGTAACTGAAGTCACTGTTCTCATAGTGCAGATGTTGACAGTATTGAAAACACCATAGCTAGCACCCATGATTCTTCCCACAACAGTATGCGGAGATGAAAGATGTGAGTATTTCTTTTCTGTTTAGTAAATTAGTCATAGTGGGCATGTGATCTTCTTTCCTCTACAGTTAAATACAGGACTCAGAGCTTTCTGATTCACAGTGACTGAGACTTTGCTCTCAAAAAAGTGGCATTGATTGAAGAACGGTCTTTGTGACATATATGGAGGAGGGGGGAAAACAGAAATAAAATGAGTACAATGTCCAAGAAAAATGACTACTGTTTTTTAACCTTAATTTATAAAAAGAGAAAAACAAAGAGAGGTGTGATGGACAGTAAATGATTAATACTGTAATCTGGTCTGAGACAGGGGTTTCAAATGGAATTCTTCAGTTGAGAGTGGCAGTTAAGAACTGACAGTTGACTGGGAAGGAAGGAAGGCCAAGGGAGTGAGAGGATCATGAAAGATCACCTTTCAAGCCTGCGTGAAATAGCTCCTAGAAAATGGGGGTGATCCCTATCCAGTCTAAGGGAAATAGCTCCTAGAGAAGGAGGTGATCTATATTAAGTGGTTAAGAAGAGAAATTGGAATTTGTTTGAATGTTCCTGCCTTCATTAACTTTAGTGTCTGTGATACCAAGAAGCTTATGCTTGTTTATGTAAGCAGAGACTGCCAAGAAATCTCTTGCCTCAAGTTTTAAAGACCTGTCTGAATAACAGAAACAGTTACTTGTTTGTAACAAATTATCTAGCATTTTATTTTTATACAAAGTTACTGCATTCCTGTTGCCTGTTCACCTCAAAAGTCCTATACTCAATTCCTATCTGACCATTTCCCCATAAAGTTAAATAAAACTGTTTGTTATTTTTGAACTACCATCAGCTTCTCGTGTGCCATTACCAAACCAGGTCATAAGAAGGATTTTGGTCTCTACCCTCAGTTCCCTAGGCTGGGTCAGCTTTTACCAATATACAGTCAAACGATTGGGTGGGACAGCCAGAGAAAAACAAAGAAGAAAAGGAAAAATGGGCTGCTCAGCCAAAAAGAAGATACAGGGAAACCTTGTGAGGGAGGGCAAAATTGTTATAAGAGGATAAGGGAAAACTGAGAACTGTCTTAGAATGAACAAGGAGCTGCAAACAGCAAGGAGGTCACAGAAGAAAACAGGGAAGATTTGCCCCTTTCCTCAGTGCAGGAACAAAAGCACCCTTCACTGGGAAAGGCAATCTGACCACCAGATTTAAGCCAGAAGCTTTGGAGTGGCTTCTGCACAAGCATAGAATCTCATGTGTCACTCAGCAAATATACTTCAAAGAACACAAACTTTTATTGCTACTGGAGAAACATCCCACTTCATGAACATGGATGAAAGTGTCCCTATCCTAAATGCTTTTGGGTGTTTAATTTCAGGAACTCTCTCCTCACTGTCTTACTTCTGTTTAATATTTATTTAGTGCTAACCATGTGATCTGTAGGGTTCTACCTGTTTCACACCACTGCTTCTCAGGCTATACCAATATACCAATTTTGACTCTGTAACTTCCTGCAAGTGCAGAAGCTCTTGTGCTCACACAAAACACTCTTATTTATCCACAAGGGTTTCCTTGTTCATTTCAATGGAGCATACAGATCTGTATGTTCACTACTCATTCTGCATATCAGCTCCCTCCACTAAAATAAACCAGGAAGCCTTGTGCACAAAAGCTCCATGAATACAGCCATTGTTCTAGATGAGGGCACATAATGTAAACATAAAGCTTCTTTACAAATAATTATTACCCATTATTGATTTATTTACCCATTATGAATTCTGCCCTGACCTGGATGACCCAGGCTAGCCTGATCTCCTCAGATCTCAAGAGCTAAGTAGGGTCAGCCCTGGTTAGTATTTGGATGACAGCCCAACAAGGAAGTCCAGAGCTGTGATGCAGAGGTAGGAATTGGCAAACTACCTCTGAACTTGAAAACCCCACGGGGTCACGGCAATGCTAATGAATATTTGAAAAACCTGAATAAAAATTATTACAGTAAAATAAATGGTCTTTCAATATGACCATTCTAGATTGTTCATCTAATAAAGTCCTACTAACGGAAATAAACTTTTTAATATACCTGGGACTTTTCCCTCTATTGCAGTTGTTTACTATGATATACATGTCTCTTAACATCAAACTTGGTTAGAAAGAAGTAATCTACCTCTACATTTGCAGATAAGACAGCCTTCATTATCCTGCTGGAAGCCATTAGGGCAGATCTTGTCGCATGACTGTTCTGGGCATTTCTTACATCGACAGATTTCACATCCATGTTTGTTCTTCCTAAATGATCAAAGTTATTTAGAAAGGTTTTAAAAATATAATATGAATTGTTGTAAAGTTATATTCTTGAATTATTTGGTAAATAATAAGTTACTTAATTATAATTCTGTACCCAGATATAGCAAAAGAGCATAAACATTAAATGTATGTTTTATTTATTATATTTATTTATTTATTAAACTTTTATCCCCCCCTCCCAGCCATAGCTGGCTCAGGACAGCTTTCAGGGCGTCTTACAGTCAGATAGAATTCCAAATACATAAATAGCATCAGTAACATTAACATTAAAACACATTAAAACCATTAAAACTGCGTCAGTTCGAGCCCTGCGCGGGTGTGAGCAGCCAGCCTGTTGTTCCCAGCTCATCACCCACCCAGCGATTCGAAAGCCTCAGCAAGTAGATAAAATGGGAACCACTCTTTAGAGAGGGTGGGCACACCAATTCCCCTCTGGGAAGGTGTTAGCTCTTGGTTGGGGACGTCCTGGTCCAGGGTCCGGAAGGCGGAAGAATCTACTCGGCTACGAAAAAATCCCTGCAGTGGGATGCTCTGGCCAGGCAGTGGCAGTGTGGCGATACGACATACGGGTCCTGAAGCCCCAACGTCATCAAGCCAGTCGACGTAGCCTTTCGGAACATAACTGAGCCAAGCCAGAAACGTTTCCACCGTGCAGTTACGGCGTGTGCAATTAAAATGAATTATATGTTGTCTTCCCTATCCCCTTTGAAACATTGTTAGTCCCCTGTCTAAAGAGTAACTGTAAATCACGTTGAGCCCACGTGGGGGGAAAGTGATTAATAAATCGAAAGCATCATCAACATCATTATTATTATTATTATCATTAGAACCATAGGGCAGCTTCAGATGTCATAAGAGGAGGGGAAATTGGCACGGACAGAAATTAGGGTCCAGTGGATCAGGGCTCTTCACCATGCAGTATCAGTTGCCGTAGCCAGTGGCATTGGCGATCGAGATGGTGTTGATCATGGTTGTGGTGGTGGTTGGCAGAAGAGCTCCGTTTTGCAGGCCCTGAGGAACTGTGAAAGGTCCCACAGGGCCCTGGTCTCCTCTGGGAGCTCATTCCACCAAAGTGGAGCCGCCACCGAAAAAGCCCTGGCCCTGGTCATCACCAGCCTGGCCTCCTTAATGCCCGAGAGGACCAACCAATTCTGGACCCCTTATCGCAGTGCTCTCTGGGGCACATATGGGGAAAGGTGGTCCCTCAAGTCCCTGGCCATAAAGGGCTTTAAAGGTAAGAACCAGCACCTTGAAGTGAATCCTGTATGCTATAGGCAGCCAGTGCAATGCCCTTAGTACAGGCTGAATGTGCTCCCGGAGAGGGAGACCCATCAACAGCCTGGCCGCGGCATTTTGCACCAGCTGCAGCTTCCGAATCCGCGACAGGGGCAGCCCCATGTAGAAGGTGTTACAGTAATCCAATATCGAGGTGACCATCACATGGATCACTGTTGCCAGGTTGCTATGTTTGAGGAAGGGAACCAACTGCCTAATCAGCCGGAGGTGGTAAAAGGCCGACACGGCCATGGCCACACTAATTTTGTTAGTGTGAATGACAAAAGTTCTATGTATGAATCTCCATTACCATCATCACTTAGAAACAGTTATATTGTGTACAGATCAGTAAACGGGTTGACTGTGATTCATTAAAATACATTCTGTTAAGAACTTCTTCCTAGAGCAGTCCTCTTTCTCCTGTCATCCTTCACAGCAGCCACGAGTTACTCTTGCTTTTAGTGAACCGCAACCATCCCGTGGCTATTGCTTCGTTGAAGGACTGGGCAGTGGCAAGGCTTCGGGAGCCACCAGAACCTTTTCCCACAAGGCAGCTTTGAGGCAGGCTGCCCTTCCTTCGTGGGCCCGAGGAGTTAAGGCTTTACTGGCCTTGCAAGTCGCTGTATTGTGGGTTTCTCTGAGGCACAGAAGGTAGGACGAGTGCTCGTCCGACTGTGCCATCTTCGCCCCACAATCGGTACATTTTTTAAACACCACTTTTTGTTTGTCTGAGGCCATAATTTTACCTCAGAAAATGTGCAGCTCACTGACAAAAATCCTCTTAGAGTGGCAGCAAAGAGAGAATTAAGGGAAGAGTGTTGGCTGGGAAGTTGCGATCCTGGGTAGGAGCCAAGCACTCTTGGGAAGAAAAGGGTTCCCCCCCCCCTATAATGAGCTTGCTAGTTCCTCCTGGTGGCTGGCCTGAGGTACCACAGTCCCCATGTGGGACTGCACAGAAGCACAAAGATGAACGTCCTATTCGCGTGGTGGTGGTCAGAAAAGAACTGGCAGGATCTCTGGCGTTCCTGGGCATGCGCAGGGAGGGGGCACAAAAGATCCTCTAGGAGCTTTGAAGCCACAGCTTGGGGTCAGTACAGGAGACTGGAGTCCCTAAGGGTGTGATGCATAGAGACCACAAAGTTCTGCCCCTTCAGCCCTCTGGAAATATTCTCCATAGGGAAAAATGGAGAAAAATGACATTGGAATCCTGAAAAACACCTGTATCCAGGTATTTGGAACCAGGAAAACAGGTAATATTGATTTTTTTGCTTCCTCATATCCAGATATGAAAAATATTTAAAAAATTGAGCCACACATCCCGAGTTATGATTATGATGGTAAATTCCCCAGATGCATAGAATATAGCCTATTCTGGAGGGTTGCATTTTCTTGGAAGGAAGGACAGCTCAGGAGTGTTCTTGGGTTCTTTAGCCCTTTTATCAAAGGTGGACAGCCCCTCACAACCCCTCCTGCAGTACACCCTATGTGAAATTTTGTAACAGCCCACTATTTCATTAGCCCCCCTTTTTAGCTCTAGGCTGTTTGGCTTTAACATTTCTAAACACAAATCTTATTTTCACAGTGAAAATAGCTATTACTGATATGGGGAGAGGGAGGGACGTACAGCTTGCATAACTTCTCCTCTCATAATTATTAAAAGGCTGGGGAAACAAGGCCAACATGCTATCTCTAACAGATGCTAGTCAAATACCCCCGATAAGCTCCCAAGCCAATATGACAATACTCACACCAACTCTCCTTATCCAGCAGTTGGCTACATCTAGCTATGTTGTCCACAGCAATTAATAGACTAAGACTCAGCTTTCTTTTACTACTTAATATACATACCTCTTTCCCAATATTCCCTTGCTTCCCACTTCTCTCCTACTGCCCCCACAAAATTCCCCTCTAAATAGAAATTAGCCACTTCCTCCTGAACACTGAAGGGAAATTTCAAAGTAGCTTAAAGGAAGTAGTCAGTAAAATAACCATGTTTTATTTGATTTTTATCCTGCTTACTCCAAGGAGCTCAGATTGGTATAGAGTCTTCACAAAACCCCTATGAGGTAGATTAGGTTGAAAGCGTGAGACTGGCACAAAGTCACCCAGTAGCCTTCATGAAGAGTGGGGATTTGAACTGGGGCCTTCCTGGTAATAATCTAGCACCTAAGCACTATGCTACACTAGCAGAATACAACCTTCTCCAGTGTATACTATAGACTGAACTCATAGTGTTAAAGCAGAAATTTCTGAGATTATCTAGTCTTTTGGAAGCTGGTCAACAGTTAAGGCAATTCCAGAAGAGAAACACACTGGGAAACCTACTTATTAATTATAACCAATCCCACTAATCCCATTTTCCCACAATAGCTGCTACCTGAGTAAAAGGGGGGGGAGATAGGTACAATATAGGTGCTGTCTTTTTCCCACAATAGGGCTAATGGCAGACCCCCTTCTTTTAAAAAAGGCATGACAGCAGGGCTTAACCTCCTCTAACCCCTATCCAAATTACTTCCACATCACCCCCATGGGTTTCTTTTTAGCAAATAAAAATGTATTGGAAGACATGATGAAGGATCTCTGAAGCAACATGTAGTTTAACTCTCAGAAGACCCCGGATCCAAAATTTGTTCACAATTTGAAAATTTTCTTTGCTTAAAGCAAGGAATCTTGGATTTTTGAAGGCAGACAGATATCTATTAGACGATGGTGCTTTTGGTCCCTGGTGTCAGAAGCTGGTCTCTATGGTCCTTTAGGACTGACAGGTAAAAACACTGCAAACCAAAACAGAAGGGTAAAAAACTCCAACCTTAAGGAACAACAAAGTTGGGTACCCAAAGGCTGGGTGAGAGAATTTTTTTTTGAGAAATAAATTTAACAAAATATCTGTATTTATTAAAAGTGCACTATATGCTTTTAAAACACTGGCATAATCTGCCCTTGAAGTGGCAACACTGGCACAATCTGCCCTTGAAGTGGCAAATATTTGAACTCAAAAGTCCTGAATCTATATAACCTGATAAATTTCAACATTTCTAGGTTAAAAGCCTTGAATCAATAAAACAGGACCAATACTTCAATACCTCTAGGTTGATAACCTTGAACCACATTAAAATTGCACCAAACACGTTTTGGCCTTTAAGGCCTTCCTCAGTGGTCAAATTTTTGTATATACGTACAAACTTTGACATGTAACCATGTGTTAGTGCCAAGGGAGGTTTATTATAAGGCATGGATGACAAAACAATTAGGTTGTATGAGGGCTTTCTTAAACTTTTAAGCTCACACATCCAAGGAATGCAGGTTCAATAGCTCTTTCTGACCATGGCTATCAAAACTCAAAGTGTGCAAACTCTCAAAGTGTGCAGATATGTATCAACCTTTAACTGACTTCTACACAACTCTTAAAAGGTGTATCAGCCTACAGTCACCCAAACTCTAGAACCTCATGGCTTCTTGATTTCTTGACCACAGTCTCCAGCTTTGTCCCCTTTGTTCCTGCCAACAGCACACGGATTCTCCTGTCCTATACAATATGTGAGTCTGTGGTTCCAGTCCAGCAGCTCTGCAGAAATACATACAGCTATTATGGTTATCATATCACCTCTCAGTCATCTCCACTCCAGGCTAAACATACCCAGCTCCTTCAATCTGTACTCATAGGACTTGGTCTCCAGACCCCTCACCATCTTCGTTGCCCTCCTCTG